ACCCCTTGAGAACGATGACTTAACCCCTTGAGAACGATGACTTAACCCTTGAGAGAACGATGACTTAACCCCTTGAGAACGATGACTTAACCCCTTGAGAACGATGACTTAACCCCTTGAGAACGATGACTTAACCTCTTGAGAACGATGACTTAACCCCTTGATAAATAGAACCAGATGAGACAACAACACTCACTAAGTATACAGTGTCAATGTCATTAGGTCGCCATTTTGTTACCCTCTTGTGTGTAGTTGTTCAAGGGGGAAACAAATCAAAATACGAGATGGTTGAGACACTGAGGAGAATCTGTTCCGACTGACAGTATAATCCTAATGAGAGACAGAGAAGCGCCCCAACACAGCGAGGGCGTCATAATCAGATATATTGGTGGGTGTGTAACGCTTGATGCTTGTGGGGGAGTTTATTCTTCCCGTGACACAGCAGAGGAGGAAGGTTTATTCTTAGAGAGAGAGAGAGAGAAATGAAGATAGACAGGTGAAATAAATAGACAAAGAAATGGAAATAAAATGAAGAAATAAGTAAATAAATCCTGCTGCCTCCTCGTTCCCTCCCACGCCATTAATATATACAATGAATATCAATAGAGAAATTAAATCTCCTCTTCTCTCCCTCTCTCTCTCTCTCCTTAATCCAATCATCACCTCCTATCTCTCTCTCACTCTCTCATATCTTCCACTAATTTAGACACGTCTCTATCTCCCCTCTCACCTGCCTTCCCTACCTACCTGTAATGTACTGCCTGTAATTTATTCATTGTTAAATTAAATAGGGATACATGCTATTATTATTATCACAGCTATACACTTTGAGTCGGATACGTTTTAGGATCGCGTGACGTATCCTACTAGTGAATGGGTTAAGTCTTGAAGGAGATATAGAACTTAACCTAACCTAATTTAACATATTAGATAGATAGATAGATAGATAGATAGTGTGTGTGTGTGTGTGTGTGTGTGTGTGTGTGTGTGTGTGTGTGTGTGTGTGTGTGTAGTCATAAAAACATACATATATTACACGTCAACATATTATGATAGATCGTCAGCATCAACAGTGAGAGCAGCAGCGTCCGGCCATCCATCTCAACCCAGACAAAAATGGTTTATTTGTCCCGTCATTTTTCATCTTGGCTTTTCATTATATTGAAATTCCTTGAACGACTGTCAGGCCCACTCCTCCCTCTCACCCCCCACTCATACAATACTGGTCACTCTTCCTTCGTACCCCCACTCCTCCCTCTCACCCCCACTCATACAATACTGGTCACTCTTCCTTCGTACCCCCACTCCTCCCTCGCACCCCCACTCAAACAATGCTGCCCATTCCATCTCACCCCACTCATACAATGATGCCCACGCCCTCCACCCCACTCACACAATGCTGCCCACTCCTCACTCTCACCCCACTCGCACAATGCTGCCCACTATTTTTATATACATATTTAGAAGCAATTTGAGTTGTGAATTTTAATAATTGTCTTAATAAAAAAATGTTGTGATGAATATTACAGTAAATATTAATAATTTAAGAAAGGTTTAATATACAATATATAATTGAGGTATTTATCTGAGATAGTCCTGTGTGTGTGTGTGTGTGTGTGTGTGTGTGTGTGTGTGTGTGTGTGTGTGTGTATTCGATACTTGCAGTTACATTCGTATTATTTTAGTGAATCCTGGTAAATTCTTGTGACTTGAAAAATACTAACAAATCAACTTACCCGATGTAACTTTCAGAGGCATATTGAGTAGAGATGAATGCCAGGCGCTGCTGATTGCTCGTGCTGGCGCTGTGTATCTTATATTACACGCGGGGTAAGTGCATGGATTTACTCGGCGGATTTACTGTACACGTTAGATGTACAGGATTGATTTACACGATTGATTTACAGGAGTGATTTACATGATGGATTTACAGGACTGATTTACATAATGAATTTATACAGTAGATTATGGAAATTGATTCATAAGTAAAAACACGAATTTAAAACCCCCCTTTTTACATGGAAGAAGGGTTTACAAGGTGGATGCAATCGTAAAACACATGATAAAAAGAGAGATATTAACAAGGTAAATTAAAAAAAAAATGTAGTTCCAAGAAGAATTTACAACCTGGATTTACGAACTGGATTTACAAGATGGATTTACAAGACAGATTTACAAGATGGATTTACAAGTCGGATACACGCGTAATACTCTGTTTTGGTTAAGGTTCCCGGCACGTGATCTTGTTGGGCATAAAGTGTTCTGAAATTCTGAAAACGTTTCCTCCGTGTGTATGTGTGTGTGTGTGGCTGAGAAATGACAGTGGAATATGAGAGAGGCTGTGTGGATGATTGTCAGAGAGAGAGAGAGAGAGAGAGAGAGAGACGCCGGATCAGTGGGAAGGAGGGAGGGAAACTTAAGCGTGTCGACTTAGGACTAAATTTCCTGGAGTAGAAACTAGACTAGAAAAAAGACGATCCATGTTTAGAATTCTGTTAGGGGGAAAAAATATAAACGTCTTGGATACACGTAGAGAGGATCAGTTGTGAGTCGAGGAGGAGAGATTTTACGTGTCTGTTTTAAGTAATAGTAGTAACATTAAAAATACTATTATTATCAACATTAATACTACTTCTGGTAATACTACTACTACTATTATTACCGCCATCACTATCTACACATCTGAGTCGACTCTCTTTTGTTTGGTGTATAACTTGATCGACTGTCTTTTGTTTTTTTGTTTGTTTATAACTTGGTCGATTGTCTTTTGTTTTGTTTTGTTTAGTACTTGATAGACTGTCTTTTGTTTTGTTTATAACTGGATCGACTGTTTTCTGTATACTCAAATGTTAACCTTTTTGTTTATAATATTAATTTCCGTCATATATATTTTTGTTTTAATATTTATAGTTATTGTTTATATATGTTGTGTTTTCGTGTTTATTTCGTCATATTTGTCATATTTTTGGGGTATAATATCCTCTCATGTCAGTAATCTCTGTTTTATCATTGTCATCCTTTTCATTTTATACTCTTATTACATTTTCTGCCATTTAATCCTATTATTCTTTTATTTATCTTTCTAATCCCTTTTATATTAATTTCGTTTCCCATGCTTTAATCCTTTCACCTTTATTATCAAAATATTAATGGCGCTGTTTTCATGATTACATTCTATTATTATTTCCTATAAACCTAATGGAGATGTTTTTTTTATATCTGCAATTATTATTAAACTTCATTATATATTAATATTCTTTATATAATCAATTTATTTCCTCAATGTTTAAGTAGTAGAAAATGTTTTTGTTTGGTGTTTGTATTTTCAACCAGACGTTCTCCCATGTGATACGTCAGATTCGCTATTTTTTGAAGACAATGATGTTATATAATAAGTCTCTATCTCCCTCTTTCGTGTGGTGGCGGAGTCTCTCACATTTTGGTTTACTCTTCTATCTATAAACCTTTTATATAGCTCAGGTTGTTCCTTCCTCGTCCTAAACTCGTAGTAAGTGTGTATATGACCTTTGACCTCAGTGATTTATAGGTCACTTGTTCATGATGAATAGACGAGGATTGAAGGTTTATACTTATATATATTGTCATAAAAGTTGTTAAGTGATAAGTTAATCCACTACAGTATTCCGAGCACATATGAACGCCACTGTAGGTAAAAGGTGGGCTTCCATAAGTGTCATTGCAGAATGGAGAAAGGAATCACCAGACGCTCGATATAGCTCGTGCTAGAGTTCATCTTCGTCGTCCACATGTTCGCCTCACAGCAAGAACAACAACAACAACAGCTAACTGATGTTTTAAAATGTTTGCGGTTTTATTCCAGACACCGAGAGAGCTTCTGTTTTCTTTTTTTCTTTTTATTGAAAGAGAAGTTTATATGACCTCACCCAGCACTTGGCCACCTTAACTCAACACTTTTTTGTAGACCTGGTGACACGGGTGAGCAACACTGTACCAACCACTCCACAACAGCCATGGTTATGTTTCTTGCACTCACATGTTGTTTGTAAAGTCTGTGTTGTTTGTTTTTATCATCAGTCTGGCCAGGAATGTCGCTACGTTTATTTTTTTTTCTACCTGTTAATCAACGTGGACTATGTGATTTTGTATTAGTCATTTGTTTATCACTAATGCCGCCAATTGGTGAGTTATTTTTGCCTTTCTCTTGACTGCATGTTTTTATGCTTGTAACCTTTAATAGCTTTACGGTTTGCCTAATCACATCAATAAGCACTATGTCAACTATTTTGCCACCAGTTAACATTAATCATGCTTATTTTTTGTGCTTTTTTAAATACGACACAAAACACTGCTAACGTGTCCAGAGTCAGCTGATCTCTGCTTATCAACACACCACTGAGCACTATGCCACGTGTCAAGTCAGCTCATCTTTGTTTACCAACACAGCATCACTTTGAGCACCATGAGTGGTTAATCGCGCACCGTCTCCCTCCCCCTGCAGAGATCACCACCACCACCACTACCACCAGCACTACCACCACCACTACCACCACCACCGCCCCCTCACAGCTGCTCGCACCCAAGGCTTCCACCCATCGGCCCGCCCACCAAGAGTCCTCCCAGCCGCCCTTCGTCCCCTGGCGGGGTTTTTCGGGTGAGTGGGTGGCCCCTTATTTTAGGTCATTAATGTACCTAAAACAAGAAGTTTGGATTAAAGTCGGAAACTTTAGGGTTGTTTTTGGTGGAATTATTTTGGGGAAAATTTTTAACACAATTATTTGCAGTAGAATAATTTTGGGTAGATTTATTTGGCCTTAATTAATGCGGTGGAACTATTTTTGGATTCATTTGTGAAAATGTGAAAATATTTTTGGTGGAATTATTTTTGAGCGAGTGGGAGATCTTAAAATAGATATACTGAATGAGTGGGTGTGTTATGAAGGAGAATATACAGTAAGTGGACACCTAAAGCAAATATCCAGGGTAAGTTGGCCCCTAAAGGTAGGGCCCTAAATATACCCAGGGTGAGTAGGATCCCTTAAATATTTAGGGTGAGTGAGCGTCCCTAAGAAGTTGTTCAAATACAGAACAAATCAATTAAAAATATTCGATTGAATGTTGAATAAAAAAACGCCAAACAAAAAGAACTTGAACAAAACGAAATGAATTAAAAAAAATTATTTTGACTTTTATTTTAACAATTAGAAACTAGTTACTCCAATTAACAACCATATTGAAGAGTTATTGTGACATCTAAAATAATAAGTAAAGTCTTATAGTCGGTTATACAGGATGATGGCGATAATAAAAAAAAATAAGGGTAATATTGAGAGAAGATTGAGTCAAGGTGAGACCCGGCTGCCATCACGGTATTGGAGGAAGTTTTTGAATAACGTAGTTTGGCTGTGAGCACAAGTTTGGACTCCATCACCCGCCTTCATAAATCACCTTCGTTATCCATACAACATTATATCTGCATCACATCCGGACAGAGTTACAAGCATGAATGCAAAAGGTTGAAGGACATGAGTAAATAACGCAGGATAAATATGAACGAGACCAAACAACTTTATGAAGTACGTTAAGAGCAACAGGTCAGCGAAATCATAAGAATAGTCAGGGATGAAATGGTTTTTTTAATCTGTCTCTCAATATCTCTAAAATACTTGATTAATGTTTAGCATCAATGTTTATATATGTATCTAAGACATGGTATCAAATATACAGTGATAAGGGAAAAAACAAACTATGTAATGATATATGGAATGACGTACTATACAAGTAACTCACAGACACAGGGAAGAAACGACTGTGTAAGACTGCGTAAGATTTCACACCAACGATAAAGCGAGATACAGAGAGATAACCCGTATACACACAACTCTCTAGACTCGCTTGGCTACACTTTAAGTTAACACATTAATATATTATAAGGACGACGTTAAAAACTCTTGACATTGGATGGAAATTACAACCACTGAAGGTAAACAACATGACGCTGAGGTCCATCTTTTATGAATATCGTCAAATTTGTATTCGTCTTTGTCCATTGGCTGCCGTATGTCACCCACTACATTATATTCATATGTTTACCAGCTCTGACTTTACAAAAATAAAAAATAAATAAAATTATCCCTGACCTTTTTAGTATAGCAGTCGATCCCATAACTTCACTTGTCTATCAGAGTTGACGGGCCGTCAGGTTCTATGTCCAAAGTTGCCTGTGAAATTAAAAGAAATGTGATAACTGTGTGGATTCTGTCCCATGTTGGAATTAGGTATCATGACCGTGCTTATAGACTCGCCAATGAGTCATGCAAGAAAGAAAATTTTGACCGTGACCTTGGCCTGTCCAATGCTCTACTTAAAACATTCAAGTCAGAATCATGAACTCTGATCTAGAAGAACTGAGAAATGCAGAGACCTGGTAGTTGTAGCATTAGTAAACATGAAAAATTTTGTGACAAGAGGTACCGGTATGGCCAGCATAAGGACAGAAGCAGACAATGTGATGTAGACCACCTGGCTTATTGTTTCATGAACTTTGTAATTATTACATTGAATCAAGGGTGCTTGAAGACATTCTTGCTGTTTATACACAATTTACTAGCCCACACTGATTAGTCCTCAATTAGAATATGACGTCCAAAGTATATGAACCACTGTCCTGCGTGGCAGTGAGAAGTAACACCACCCTCAGTGTCAAGACCTGACTGAATTACTCAGAACAGGCAAACTGTACTCCAAGCTTTGTAAATAAATTTGTTAACCGTTAAAAAACACGGTACAGTGTCTGGCTACAGAAAACACGCACTGAAGTATTTGGATGACAGTACAGCCACAATGGAAAAAACAAAATAATAAAGAATGGTGCACAATCATGACCTAAGCACAAAGTTTTTTGCATCCGTAGATGAGATTGATAGCAATGGCTTTTTGGTATGTATTTTGTCTCCCCGAAAATATAATTTGATTTAAAGTGTAGTACAATGAATCTGAAGGTGTCGGTTAGAAAATGCTCCATACATGTCACCTCTCACACACACACACACACACACACACACACACACACACACTAATAGACAATAATGCTGAGTAATTAGACCAGTCCAACATGAGGTCGTCCAGCCATGACCACCACGATCTCTCAGTCGCAGTATCAGCCATAGGATAAAAGACATCGACAGTCAATAAATCAGTCAAGCCATAATTGCTATCAGTTCGATGATCTTAATTATTTTGTGTGATATGGTGCAAGAAAACACTGTGATCTGATACAGTTATTTTCTGTATCTAAGATGTACTACAGTTAACTATTTCGAACAATATAGTAGACGATGGTGTGTTATTCCTGGCTGGTGGGTCCTACAAGTTAGTGAATGTTGACCCCATCATCTTGTGCTATCAGTCACTCAACCAAACTTTTCCACTTGCTTCTTCCCATAACTTTGTGAGGGTCTCCTGAACCTGAGGGAGTTTCAACATTACCAGATTCTAAAGCACTGTATCAGCATCTAAGAATACACTTACATCACCAGGACGACAGCGACCAACTTATTTTCATTAGTTGTACCACGAACTTTTGTCTGCCTCCAACTACCTGGTGACTGTTATCGTACCACTTACTAATTGGTGACTGTCATCATCCCTCCTACTACCTAGTGACTGTCATCATCCTTCCTACTACCAGGTGACTGTCATCAACCCCTACTAACTGGTGACTGTCATCTCTCTACCACCTGCCAGCACCGTGTCGCCATTCTTGTCCCAGATCAATAGTTCTCTTGATTAAATTTTTCAACAAATCTCCTGACGAGTAAAATTACCTTATTGGATTATTTTTTTTTGCGAGCACAGTGGCGTCTCTGGCGGCTGATGCCCGAGGAAGTAGAGTACACACTCAAGTTCTTGTCTTCCATCTCACAACGAGGTTTAACTTGGTAATCAAACATGTGTACTGAAGTTAGTGTGTGTGTGTAATAATAATAATAATAATAATAATAATAATAATAATAATAATAATAATAATAATAATAATAATAATAATAATAATAATAATAATAATAATAGTGTGTGTGAGTGTGTGTGTGTGTGTGTGTGTGTGTGTGTGTGTAAATACTTGTGGCATTTATGCACTAGAAATATAAAATACCTATAAGATTCTTCACATAAACCAAGCACGAGATAAATGAAGCGTCTGGGATGAATAGAAACTTAGAATGTTGTTTGAAATTACACAGAAGGGGAAGTAGAATGTGTATTAAGAACGCTGGGAAGAGGCGGATGAATGAACCCCACAGTACGGCTGATTATGTGAAGGGGAAGTGTGTTATTATCGTGGTTCAGTGTATTGATGGGTCAGGAGCTGTGGTAATTAGTGAGGGGAGGAAACACATGTGGTGGAGAGAGCAGTAGGTGTGGTGGAAGTAGGGAGGTTGTGGTGGAGGTGGGGGTTGTGGTGGAGAGGTGGGAGGTTGTGGTGGAGTGAGGAGGTTTGTGGTGGAGAGGTCAGGAGGTTGTGGTGGAGGGTGAGGAGGTTGTGGTGGAGGGGTGGGGGGTTGTGGTGGAGAGGTGAGGAGGTTGTGGTGGAGGGGGTGGGAGGTTGTGGTGGAAGGTGAGGAGGTTGTGGTGGAGGTGTGAGGAGGTTGTGGTGGAGAGGTTGTGGTGGAGAGGTGAGGAGGTTGTGGTGGAGAGGAAAGAGGCTGTGGTGGAGGTGAAATTTAATTATGCTCAATCGACACACACACACACACACACACACTACAAGCCCGTCATCGTTCTCCCTTTAATAAATGAGACGGGAGGGAGGGGGGGGGGAGGAATACACAACCGGTAATAGTTAATAAAGGAAGAGGACACACAGTATTGACCACCACTCTCTCTTCCTCCTCCTCTTCCTACTCCCTCCTCCTCCTCTTCCTACTCCCTCCCCCGTACTCTTCTTTCTTCCCCTTCCTCTTCCCCTTACTCCGCTTCCCTCTCCTCACACTTAGAACAAAAAATCGGCAGCGGGAATTTTAACGCCCAAGACAGAAGCCAATTCATACTTCAATCTGTGTATTTTATTGTAGTGTGATCTATTGCTCCAACCAGTGTGTATGATCTATGTGTATATCATATGTTGGGTCCGTTATTGTGTATGTTGTCGGTATTTTTTTGTCTGTTAATGGGAATAACAGACTATCAGCTGGCAGATTTGGTATTGTTTACTTTTGATTTATAGATATTTTTGTTTATATTTACTTACGACTGTTGAACCATCTCTCTCTCTCTCTCTCTCTCTCTCTCTCTCTCTCTCTCTCTCTCTCTCTCTTTTGCAATATTTAACTATCTATCTAATTATTTTGTTATACACTACTTACTATGCATGTAGGTATAACATGGATTAACACTCGACAAAAATATACCAAGAATATTGACGATCACCTAAGAACATCCTGGGTTTAATAAGATCACTAAGAGGTAAAGTTAAACCATGGAGATAACGAAGAGGAGGTAGAGCGTGTAGTGATCTTACAGCTGCCACCATCATAATAGGAATAAAAATGGCTCTGAATCTCCGAGCTGGTAACACTGCAACACGTGATGGCAATTATGGCAGATTTTCGTGATAAAAGTGACGTTGTTAATGTAGCTGAGAGGATTACTAGACAATGCCGGTGGCGGTAATGACCCTCAGGTTAGTCTATGTGGAAAGGGAAGGAAGCCATGTGTGGGTGGTGGTGCTGGTGGTGTGGGTGTGTGGGTATTGGTGATGGTGGTGTGGGTGTGTGGGTGTGTGGGTATTGGTGATGGTGGTGGTGGTGGGTGATGGAGGTTGTGGGGAGTGTGTTGGGTGATGGTGGTGGAGGGTGTGGGTGGTAGAAAATGAGGAAGAAGAAATTCAATGACTTATCAGGCTCTTTTGGAGAGAGAGAGAGAGAGAGAGAGAGAGATTTTTCGGGGCAGCTCATTAAAAGCTAGTTAAAATGTCACGTGTGAATTAGATCGGTCTAGTGGCCCCGTTGAAGCTGCCCGGCCGAGGGGAACTGGGGGTCATTTTTACCCTCACTAAATACTCCTAAGTCATTTTTTTGTTGTTGTTTGTCAAGAAGATTGTTAATAATTCTGAAGTTTTTTTTATGATATCGCCCGAACACGTGTGACGTTTCTCCCCTCCATTCTCTGTGTCTGTCTGTCTCTTCGTCTGTCTGTCCCTTTTACTGTCTATTTTACTTTTTCACTACATATTTACTCCTTTCTTTCCCTTTCGTTCTTTTTCTTTCATGTAGATTTATCAGTTTGTCTCTCCACTATCTTACCAATATCTCACCACTGTCTCTTCCCCCCCCCTCTCTCTCTCTCTCTCTCTCCCTCTCTCCCTCATCACCATCTCACCACCGACTATCTTTCCTCCCCTCACCACCACCATCTCACCACCTCTCTCTCAGCACCATCTCTCTCACCCTCACCACCACCATCTCACCACCTCTCTCTCAACACCATCTCTCTCACCCTCACCACCACCATCTCACCATTAACTATCTCCCTCACCATCACCATCTCCAGCACTCTCACATCACCACCGACTATCTTTCCTCCCCTCACCACCACCATCTCACCACCTCTCTCTCAGCACCATCTCTCTCACCCTCATCATCACCATCTCACCACTAACTATCTCCCTCACCATCACACACACTCACCACCAACTATCTCTCCCCGGCAGCCATCGAGACAACAACATCAGCGAGTCAGAACAGGTTCATCCAGGAAGGTGAGGCTGAGGGATCTAGAGCAGCAGCAGACACGCACAAGAACCAACAGCAGACATCACTAGGCTTCGGCTCCTACTTCGGTGAGTGTTAACGTCTTCTGCTGTAGTTTGCTGAAGGAGGTTTGTTTCAGATCTAATAAGTGTGGTTATTTAAGAGTCATATTTTCATTGGTTCCTCAAGTTTATAGATGGAGTTGATAGTTAAGAGGAGGAGATGCTTTGTGATTGGGTAGTTTGAAGAGAGAGAGAGAGAGCGGCTCAATGCTCCTGGTGACTCCTGGATCTACTAGAGGGTAGAGTGGGGGGTAGGAGATAAGGTGTTACGGGGCGTGAGGAAGAGGAGTTTTCAGTCCGGTGGGGTAATTTTATCACCATCTTATAATTCATCGAGTTTCTTTATATCTTACTAAATGTCCTGGAATTATATGTCTACTTAATCCACTGGACATCTAGTGAGATATCTCCCCATGTCCCTTAGATTATTCAGGGCAACTCTCCCTATGTCCTAAGAGTTTCCCTACATATTTTCTAGGGCTCTGAGATAGAAGAGAAAAACCAGTTAATTAAGGTGGATAAGTTGAGAGCTATAATATGTCTCAGTGGTTTAGGTTTGCTGAGGTGGCTGAGGTGGATATTTGGCGGTCTCTGAGGTCATCACTCTGTTTTGTTATAAGTTCCCTGTAGGTTCATTTATTATTATTATTATTATTAATATATTTTTTTTTTTTTTTTAGGATTTTACGACCCGGGACAATTAGAACTAGGACCTATTACAGCTTAAACCTATCAGACCTTGGACCTATTAGAATTGGAGCCCATTACAGTAAGGGCCCAGTAAGTTAAATAAAACTAAACTCCCAATTACAATGATTAAATTAGATTGCCGTTTATCATGACTGGGACCAACTAGAACTGGGATCCTCTGTCTGAACGTTTATACCAGATTAAAGATGTACCGGGATTGCCGAGTCTGCTTGTCGGATGATACAAGGCTAACAGAGAAGGCTCCTAATCCCAATAGAGGAGCTTACTTAGATCCTCTGGGGAGTAAGGAGTGAATAGGGATTATCATAGAGAGATAAGTGATGTGACATAATATGCTCTAAGGTCTGTGGCGAATTTGAGTCCTAGGGTATACTTAAGGGCCTTGTTTCCGATCCCTGAGGGTTGTTTAGGGTCTCTAGCCAATAGGGGGTGATGGTTTTGGATCTCCTATGATGAATGATTCAGGGTCTCTTCTTCCGACCTCTCTCTGTGTATTTTTATGAGAGACAATAAATGTTACTTCTTCTGATTGTCTGGATTATCTTTTGTTATTGTTATTACAGAGAGAGGAGTCTTTAATGTCTGCTGAGTCTGCTGGCGGGTGTTTTAGGGAGTCTCGGGGCTTCTCAGGGCGTCTCAGGGTAGCTCAGGGGGTCTGGTATATGACCCCTGAGGCCTGTGTGTCATGTTAGGGATCTAGGTGATGGGATATAAATAAGAATGACACGTTAATAACCCAGAAGATTTGGGTGGTATTTTTTTTTGTTTATCCCTGGTGGCAGTGAGTAGTTGTTCAGGGCATTTAGGGGGATTCAGGGCTTTGTTTTTATTTCCTAAGTCCTTTTAGTTTAGATCTTCAGGATTAAGGGGTGACATAGGTAAGATTATAGAGTTATAGATTACGAAGATCTTGTTAAATCATCGTAAGCCTAGGGACCTTTGTTTAAATCGACTCCCCGATAATTTAGGTCAGACAGATTGATTCAGGGCATTATATCCAGTTCCTAATTATTTTTTTTAGGGAAATGAGATTATTAAGGGATTAAGGGGCATTATTATAGAGTGTGAAAGATTAATTAAATCTCTGAAAATCTTGCTAAACATATTAGGGATCTGTAGAACTACTCACTAACTTGTAATTTAAGGCAGTTAGGGTAATTCACAGTTACTGAGATATGGCGACAAGATGAATTTCAAATGATTAGTTTGGAGTTATTACGGTATTAGATGTCATTCTGAAAGGTTTTGTCTAGTAGTAGTAGTAGTAGTAGTAGTAGTAGTAGTAGTAGTAGTAGTCTCATTATAGTGTTAACTAATATATTTCCAACCCTTCCCTTCCCTCCCATAGACAATCCCACGTCCTCATCGTCATCAATCTGGTCGTCGTCATCGTCATGGCTACGGGCGACGTGTACAGGAATCTCCGTCTTCCTCGTCCTCCTCTTTCTCGCCATGTCCTAAGCGTCCTCCGTGTCCCAGGAGATCTCCCACGAGGTAATGGAGACGCGGAGGAGGGACAAAAACAGCTTATGTAAAATTTCGGTGTGGAGATATCTTTCTCAGCCTCTGTGAAATAGTGGAGACGCGTTCTCCCGGTGTCTCCTGGCAAGTGATCTCCTACGGTGTACTAGAGACGTGGAGAACAAGAGAATACGTGCTATTGGGTAAAGCTGGACTAGTCTATCTCTGTCTCTGTGCGTGACGTTCTCCTCGCGTCTCCTGAGGGAAGTGTCTGTGGGGAAGCGACAGTAGAGATAGAAGATCTCCCATGACGTAGTGGGTATGTGATGGAGATCGGGAAAAAAAATTAACCGAACCATTGGGAGAATTGGAGATATTGCCCCTCACACTCTCTAGGGAAGTGACAGACGGTCTCCTGCTGTCTCCTCGGTGAAATATATCGGCGTTGAGAAATTAAGAGAAAACTGAAGAGAAACTTACTATAGAATTGGTGATAGTTCAGACATTATTAGTGGGGAGAAAGATGGTAGTGAAACGTAGAATAAGAGAAAGTAAAGGGAGAAAGGGAAAGGAGATAATCGAAGGAAAACAAATTAGTGAGGAAAAGAGAAAGTTAGTGAGAGGTGAGAGAAAGTTAATTAGGATTGAAAATTGAGGAAAAAGAGAAATATTGTAAAATTGAAGATAAAACTAATGAGTGAAAATAGAAAGCTGAGGAGAAAGGAGTAAAAGCTAACGAAAGTAAATAAAAAAGAAAATAAGACATGATGGAGGGAAAGATAAAATATATAATAGAAAGTTGAAAGAAAAACAGGGAAGTTACTAATACAAAAACGAAAGTAGAGAAACTTCATATAAAAGATATAAAAGAGAAAGCTGAGAGCAAGTGTTCAAACCTAATAATATAGAATAGAAAACTGAAGAAAAAGAAAGCAAACAATACAAAATAGAAAGCTGAGTCAACACGAATAAAAGCTATGAAAAGAAATATTCAACGTTACATTGTAGAAAGTCACTCCCACACGACCCCTCAATGGCCCTGAGAGATAAATAAGGATCAATTGCTGTGTAAATCTATAGCTAACTCCCTCTTATGACCTTACATCATAATCTGTACCCTGGATACTCTTACCGAGCCCTGACCTCTGACCTGTGACCAATGTGGTGTAAATCTATGGCTAACAACCCCCACCTATGACCTTACACAATAGTGGGGGTAGGTCATCGTAATCTACTGTATATCATGAATACTATTATTGACCCCTGACCTCTGACCTCAGACCCCTGATCATTGTGTACCCTGGTTATCTAATTTTCATTGACGTTTGACCTTTGACATTTAACGATGAGGTCACATCAGTTTCTGTTTTTAAAGTCATTTGTCTGGAGATGCCGGCCATAGGAAAGAGAATTTACACTAGTTTTTTTTTTTTTTTTTTTTTTTTTTTGAGAAGAGACCCCAAACAAAAACCAAAGCCTTTATGAAGAGGTTGAGGGACAAAAACAAGGATAAAGTGTGTGTGTGTGTGTGTGTTGGTGATGGTTGGTGATGGTATGGAAGGGAAAGGAATAAAACATATAAATAAACAGATATTCAGAGGCTTGTAATAATAGAATTCAAGATAGGTTGCCTGTCTATCTGTCTGTCTGTCTGTCTGTCTGTTAGCTCATCTCTCTCACCCCCTCTCCCCTTTCTGTCTCTTACTCTCTTTCTATCTCTCTTTCTTGTTTTAGTTTCCCCCTCATTTTTTCTGTTCCCTCCCTTTTCCCCTTCTCTCTGCGACAAAAAAGTGGTGATTAAAAAGTTAAAAGGAGAAGAGGCAGAGGAAAAGAGAGACAAGTGATTACTGACAAAAAAGAGGTCTAATATTAACTGGGAACTCTTAATGGTTCAGCGGTGATCTAAAAGGGACTCAACATCCACTCAACAGTGACTCAGTGAGGATTGAGCAATGACTCATTAAAGACTTATCAGTGACTCAGTAAGGACTCAACGGTGATTCAGGACTCGGCAGTGATTCAATAAGAACTTAACAGTGTCTCAACAGTGACTCAGCAGTAATCCAACAGTCTCAGCAGTGACATTCACTTATAACTCAGCAGAGATTCACTGTTGACTAAACAGCGAGGGAACAGCGTGCAGGCAGTGAATCAGTGGTGCCAACGCCAGGAGAACACTATGGGAGGACGCGACAATATTGAGTCCCAGCGTTGTTAGCACTGACAGGTGTTGCCAGAGGGGCAGGAATAATGATGTTTGTTCTAATGGTAATATTTAGGTTATTCTTCGTCTGGTAATACGTAAGTTACCACAATAACTCTTAACTGATACTTTAGCTGATAATATACATATACATGAGAGTGATGTTGAGCAAGTGAATGTTTAAATTATAAGGTATCAAGCCAATAATACATATATAGTATACATTTACCGTATGTATATATTTAAACTGATTCACATCTACATATACACACTATGTAGATTCAGTCACAATGGAAAAGACTTGTATATATGTATCCAAATCATAAAATTAAGAGAATATATATATATATAGGTAAGCCTAAACAAATGTTGGGTTAAAATGTTACCCATTAAACTTAGAAACAGATGAAAGATGTCTGAATGAGTAAAAAAAATGCTTCATTTTGTGTGTATTATAATATTTATCCCTGTCTTTTACCACCCTCTCTCTCTCTCTCTCTCTTTCTGTCACTCCTTACCTCCCTCCCTTCCCAAGCTTTCTCCCTCCCTCTTTTCCTTTCTCTTTCTTCCGCCCTTCCTCTCTTTTCTCTCCTTCTCACCCTACCTCCCTCACTCTCTCTCCCCTTCCTCTTCAATCTCTCTTCCTCCTTCCCTCCTCAATCTTTCTCCCTCTCTCCCACAATAAGGTTATAGTATATCAAGACAAAACTTACGACACATTAATTCACGTCTTAAACTTCACCACCAATGATTCTCCAACATTACAACGTATAATATTTTCCCCTCAAACTACGACGCGACGACGTAACAGATAGAACAGAGTCTCGGTACAATTTTGCCGCCATATTGGCTTTTAGATCGCCAGAAGGTATAAGAATTTAAAGCATGACTCATTGTGAATTCATTCCTAAATTCAGGAAAACCTGAGCACACGAACCTTTAAGAATCCCTCTATTAATTAATCTAAAACATTTTGATATTACCTGTTTAGTAGGAAATTAAACTGACGAGCCTTTGAGAATGCAGGTGAGATACCTGTTAGATGTATTCTTCACTTACTAATTAAAGGTAAACTTCACCTACGATCCCAGCAGAATGAGACAGTTAAGACGGCATGTCTCGTGTCCAATAATCTAATTAGATTACTATCAAGGTATGACGGTCTGCCCAATTTATATTTAATGTGGTAGCAACCTGTGGCAGTCCCCACGCTGGCTGGCCTGCCTATGTGTGGATTACCTCCACTACCTAATGATAATAATAATAATAATAATAATAATAATAATAATAATAATAATAATAATAATAATAATAATAATAATCTTAACTATAACACTAAACAATAATAAAAATAACAATAATTAATAATAATAATAATAACAATAATTAATAATAATAATAATAACATGAACTTGCTCCTTTGTCAACTGTACGATAACATAAACCTACACCATTGCACAACTGTAGAATACAAGCCAACGCTGCCGGACAAAGAGTAGAGTATAACTTATGTGTATCGCTGGCGGCGCGAGTATGTTTGAAACTCTACTACGTCGCTGCCAGCTGTTTAATCTTTTCCAGCATGGCCAACATTGCTGCCGGACGTAAAATAATTCCCAAACTATCCTACGGCGCTGTTGACTATGTAAGAGGAGGGCAGGGGGAGGAGGGTAAGAACTGGTGCTCGATAATTACTGCAGGTAAATTAATTTCTTTATTGACAAGTACAGATGAACCACCCAAGCGTATTATTAAATTTGAAGTTCTAATATTTGTTTTTTCTAATGTTTGTCCTTGTGAAGAGTGACAATTCTCTCTCTCCTCAGTGATCAGTGTAGTTCATTACTTCATTTTAAGTGATAAAAGGTTGGCGATTTATTTTGAAACTTATGGATATTTGGAGAAAAGACGATTTTCTAAAATGCGGTAATTATTTTTTATTGTATTTTTCTTAATTTATGTTTCCAGTCATATTATTTTCCGTTGTCTATTATATTAATTTCCGCTTATTGTGTGTTTATACCAAGCGGTACCTTAACTACTCTCTGTAGACTTAAAGAGTCCACATTGTAGACAAGCTGTCGTAGAAAAATAAAATTCAAAAGTAAAAATTTTTTACATATCCAAAATCTTCCTTGTAAAACATTCACCTCTGTACAGTCACTCTAAAACTATCTATACAAAATTGTGTTGAAAAAATATGACACAATGGACGAAGGATTTTTACAACCCTACCGAGACAACAGGAGTCGCAGTGTTCATTCTGAAATTTATCGACCCCCCCCAAGTAGAGATAGTTTTTTGAGTGGCTGTACATTGTTTTTATGCCACACATTATGGATCTACTTATACTTAAACTGATGTGATCTAAGTTAGAGTGCCTTCTAACTTAATCAGTGCTAATTCACTCATATATTCCTTGGGGTAAAGACAAGCATGTGGGTTTTATGACGTCAGTTCAGTTTTTCATTCATATCTTTCTACATCTACATTAGTGTCTTATTTATCTGTTTATCTTTTATTTTATTTGTTTCATTCACTTCCTTGCTCTATGTTAAACCTTCGTTAAGTTTCTTCATATATCCGGGAAGTGTGAGCGCTGCCGGGTGGAGAAATAATTCCATATTCTCAAACATATAAACGAGCATAAAAGTATAATACGCTGCTGCCTGGCGTACGATCAAGTCAAGCAAACTGATATTGCTGACTGTCAAAAAGGATATAAAATTTTTATATAAGGCGCCGATGGTAAGATTTAATATCACTTTATATCCCAGAGAGTATATTTAAAACAATAAATTTACACGGTAGATTCCTTTAGTAATCCATCATAATATTCCAGGCGTAAAAAATTTAATAAAAAAATAAAGAACTCCCAAACTGTCGTACAGCACTACCGTATCAGGCCATAATCCCCACGTTGCCGACAGCTATATAAACCCGAGTAATCCCAGGCCAGTTTTCCCCCCACACTTTCCATCAGGCCATTGGACCAAGCTGCTCGCTCCGGCCTCGAGGATATTCCGATCAAAATTGAGACCCACTCAACACGTTGGCAGAGTTGTACGATCATTTTCAAAACCTTGTTCTCTTAACCTCGGCCAGTGACTGATATGGGTAATGCAGGTGGGAAGGCCAGTCTCTCTCTCTCTCTCTCTCTCTCTCTCTCTCTCTTCTTTTTACAGTATATTTCGCTAGGTGTTACGTACAGTACATGGGGCTTTGGCGCGCGCACACACACACACACACACACACACACCTAAAGCAGAATAGATTTGAAATTTGCATGTCATCTGGGTGTTCTCACATGGTCAATACTCCGAGGGGCTGAGGTAGGGGGCTAATACAACTGAGAGAGAGAGAGAGATATATGGATACGTCCAGTAAGTGGGTAATGCTAATTTAATCCAAACACAAGCCACTGGTTATCAAGGGTTGTAATCTTATCAATATAAAACACAATATTGAACTTAAACGTCTGCATCATGGTCTTATTCATGGCTAATTAGGTCGTTGATGACTGTAGCATTGTCTAGAGATATCAATACATGGATAAATAACTCTCATTCTATGCTTTGGATGTTAGGGCGACGATAATCCAACACAAC